CGTGGTGCTGGAAGCTCTGGCCCGGGAAATTAAGCAAGATAAGGAAATAAAAGGCATCCAAAATGGAAAGGAAGAAGTAAAACAATACCTATTACCTGATAACACGATCTTAACATTAGAAAAGCTTAAGTAACCCACAAATAAGAACTGTTACGGCCAATATGTGAAAATATGGAGGCCTGTGCCCTGCTGAGAATAGGAAATGGCACAGCCGTGTGTCAGATCCTTAAAGAATGAGCAGTAGAATTACCACACAGAGGCAGGACAGAATGGGGACACGCCCCAGAAGGCCACTCATGAACATTCAGGCTGGGGGACGCGAGTAGTTAATGAGCCCCAGTGCACCGAGGACAGCTTACCCCACCTGCCCATCGACCGCTGCACCTGCAGCTCTGCAGGTCACAGAAACCTGTGCACCTGCACACTGGGAGATGCAAAAGTGCAGGCGACCTTCCCCTGTGAAGTTAGACAGGGAGGACAAAGCCAGGGGAAGGTGACCACAAACTTCAGAAGCTCAGGGACCGTGGCAGGGCTCTAAGGCAGCCTGCACCAGCTGGTAACGACTTGGCTGCCCTGGATCCTCCCCACAGCCAAGTATTTGTCCCCTTAGGACAGAGAAACAACCTGTCCCGGGAAGCGTAAGGCACTCAGGCATCGGGGGCCTCCGCACTGCTGGGGACGCCATTGCCCGCATCTGCACGTGTCTCTTGCTCTGTAATAACATCCTGTTGTCTGAACGTTATGACCATCTTCCCCTGCCCTTCACCGATGGCCGAGATGTGGACTTCCTCCCGTCCCATCAAAGCTTTTTCTCCCCAGTTTGACTGAGGACCTGGCACTGCCGTCCAAGGCCGAGTCACAGCGGCCGCCGGGCGGCTTTGCTCCCGCGTCTCCTCTGCTGCTGGTCCCTCCTGGGCCCCCTAAATTCTGATGAGACCGTGCTTTTTCCTGTCATTCTCCTTTCTGTCCTCATTCAAGTGGCCGCAGGAAGGGTGGTTAGGATTTGGGGCTGTCCCCACCACCACCCATGAGAAGAGAGCTGCGCACTCACAGGCTGGGCTGATGATGGCCACCGTCCCTTCGGGGGTCCCTATGCGCCACACGTAGTCCAGGGGTCGCCAGGTTGGTGGAGACGGTCCTGTCCAGTCATGCGTAGGTGCGCTGGAGCTGGTTGCTTCCGGGTCGCCACATGTCCCCAGGGAGTGACCAGCATCTGACCGGCCCCTCCCCAAACCCCGCAGGCATCCAGGGGGACCCGCTTTCTCTGTCCCCCACGGGCTGAGGCTGAGGTCCAGTGGGGGGGGGGTCATTGCCCCAGGGGCATACCCCGGAGGTGACCCAGCGTGTTTGGTTTTGGGGTTGTTTTTTTTTAACTTCTTTCTGATCTCAATGAATGGGCCCATTTGCAGCTAATCCACCAACTAGCTCTATGTCTTGAGGCAGTATCTTTGCAACTCTTTGGTCTTGTTTGAGTATATTCAGTTGCTTGAAACCCTTTTTCTTGATCCTGTGTGCTTCTCGTTAACATTTTTGCCAAAGACTCTGAGGCCTCATGAGAAACTCCTGGTCTTTCCCCAAAGTCTTACACACATCTTGTTAGCTTGTCTTTGGTTTTAAGCTTCTGAATTCTGGGGTTTAAATAGATAGCCATAGTGAGGCCAAAGGACATATTGTGTCCACAGCACATGGGCCACCAGCTGCAGGACAAAACTCGATATGGCCTCTTCATCTCAGCTCTGCCTTCTGGCCATGCTGGGAGGGACAACATCCTTTAGACATTATCTTTGTGAATTCTGCCCTCTGGTCTTGGGCTCCACATGCTTGCCCTGAATGCCACGTGGCTACTAGGGACCCACGACAACCAGGGAAAGGGGACCTGTGTCCTATACCTCAAAGGTCTTAGTTAATCCTGGTTGATAAAGGTGTAGGCTGGTATGAGTAAACCAGACAAATGTGATGGATTAAATGCTTACAAGTGAAAACGTCAGTTTCAAAATTCTTTTCAGGAATTTGAAATCTTAAAGTCATGTTATATTGATAAGTTAAAATACTGAAACATGGGGGCCGGCCCGGTGGCGCACTGGATAGTGCACCGCTTGAGAAGTGCGGCGGCGCTCCTGCCCGAGGGTTCGGATCCCACAAACAGACCGGTTCCTGCTCACTGGCTGAGCAAGGCGCGGGAGCAACACCGAGGGTTGCAATCCCGTTGCCGGTCCCCGGTCCGGTACGGGGGCAACACTGAGGGTTGCGATCCGTTGCCGGACACGGAAAAAGACAAAAAAAAAAAAAAAAAATACTGAAACATGGGGCCGGCCCCGTGGCTCACTCGAGTGTGGCACTGGTAGCACCAAGGCCACGGGTTCGGATCCTATATGGGATGGCCGGTGCGCTCACTGGCTGAGCGTGTTGCGGACGACACTGTGCTGAGGGTTACGATCCCCTTACCAGCCATAAAAACAAACAAACAAACAAATACTGAAACATTAGTTATTATACATAAGTCTAAGCTTATATACTTTGGTGTTTTGTTTTATGTGATATAAAAAAACTAAACACATTTGGATCTGTTTAAAACAATTTTTTAAAAAACATCTCTTCAGGAATTAGGAATGGTTTTTATCTACAAATATTAATATAAAGCAATTCATAAGTGGTTGCTTCCTAGGTTTTCCACTGGAAATTAGGGTTACTAGGAGTTCATTATAGTTAACACACATAATTCAAACTGCTAGGTATAAGATTTTATATACAGAACACCTACAGAAAATAGAATGTGTTTTTGGTGAAGTTGTAGAAGGCATGAGGATGCAGAACGGTTCTTGTTAATAAAAAGTTTGTCAGTTTTAAGGTGTTTAGGGAATCAAAAGAGAAAAAAGAAATGTCATAGACATGACTAAGTGGATATAGTTAAAAAGTTTGTGAGAGCTTACACAAAGTATGCAATAATCTTGTGTGGCCAAAACCGAGATCGGGTAAACTTGTTTATAAGTTTTTATTCAAATTAGCTGTAATATTAACAGTACAAAAGTAAAATTTGGGGCAGGCCTGTGGCTCACTCGGGAGAGCATGGTGCTAACAACACCAAGTCAAGGGTTAAGATCCCCTTACCGGTCATCTTTAAAAAAAATAAAATAAAATTTAGTTTCGTTCTTTTAAATAAGATTTTCATGTAATATATATATATATATATATTTTTAAGGATGACTGGTAAGGGGATCTTAACCCTTGACTTGGTGTTGTCAGCACCACGCTCACCCAGTGAGCGAACCGGTCATCCCTACATGGGATTCGAACCCGGGGCCTTGGTGTTATCAGCACCGCCGGCCCCAAGATTTTCATGTAATATTAATAACAAATAAAAGACTTGTGTTCACCTTTTGAGTAAACTACAAAAAAGTAAACAATAAATGGAAGATATTTTCCATATAATTCATGGAGACCATATAATTCCTGGAGACCCCGACCCAGTAAGTACCTTCTCCCCGCCGTGGAGGATTCGCTCCTTCATGACCGGAGCCTTTGCTGGAGACCTTTGGAACTAAGTACACCAAGCGTCTGGCTGGGAACCCACACATATCTATTTGGTGGAAATGTCTGGAGCTCAGGCTGGGCCTTGTGTAATCTCTTCTGACAAATGGATTCTCCACTTACTAGATCCTGAGGTTCCCAAGTGCCACCTTATTTAGAGATTACTGTACTACCTCAGATGGTGTGGAATTCTAGTCCCCCGGTCCGAATGTTCCCTTCATGTACTTAATTCCTTCCAGCACTGCCGCATAGATGACTACTTATACTGACGGTCCTGGACCCAAAACTCCACCATCCCAGGGACCCCCTCCCCCAACTACCACCACCACTTGTGGCCCTTATTTTCAATGTTCTGAAATCTTTGCTGAAAAGGCCAACTGGCAGTTCGCCTATTTTGTCTCCTATATGGACACAAGGTCAAAGGGCTCACATCCTAGGCCCAGGCCTAACCTTACTGTTGGGCAACGGCTCTATCATTAGACGAGAGTCTACAGGGAGGGACACCCCTACCCCTATGGGACGCCTAGGGATTGGAGAAATCCAAGGACAAAGTGGCTGCATTGGAGAGGGACGCCTTCCAATGGGCCCATCACAGACGGCCGAGGGACGCCTGCCCATCTACTTGAGCAGAGAGCGGGCCAGAAGGACGCTCGCTCCTCGGTGACTGACTCTCCTTTCTTCTTTCCAGCTCTCTTTTTCTCACACCCATAGGAGACGAGATGGGAAATACTCCAGCACCCCTGAACAGTCACCCTCGGGGTGCATATTAAAAACTGGAGCTACTTTATATGGTTTGAAAAAGAAAAAGCTTGTGTTTTTCAACAATGTGGCTTGGCCCCAACATAGGTTAGACGATGGAGAACGGCTCTCTGAACGACAGCACCATCCTACAATTACATCTCTCACGTGGCAGGGCCCACAAGTGGACTGAGGTCTCAGACGGCCAGGCCTTCACCGCCTTACATCAGGATCCAAAACTAAAAGGAAATGTCAGATTTGCTATATGGGAACCCAAAGTAAAGCCCACCCCTTACCCGGGCCCGGGATGCCCAGCCCCTGCAGAACCATGAGGCCCCTTCTCCATACCCCTCTGCCCCTCAAGGCACTTCCCGGGCTAGCCCAGTTGGAACTACTGGTGGGGGGGACCCCACACCACCCCCTGCACTTGCCCTCTTCTGAGGTGACAAATGGCGAACACATGGTAGGAGTTCATGCACCTCTCTCCAGGTCTGACCCGGCCGAGTGCCAGCGGGACTTAGGAAGACACTCAGCGGATCCTGGGAACTTTGCAGATAAATTCTAGACACTGAGCATGTCTGTCGAGCTCTCAAGGTAGGACATTCAGGTCCTTCCATCCACTTGCTGCACTGCCTAGAAGGCTTCGCACTTGGAGTTCAGCAAGGGCACGTGCCATCAGACGAGTAGAGATGAGCCCCGCGCCCATCCAGGGGGCCGGGATCCACCTGGAGTCATCAGTGGCCGAGGCCGGCGCGCTCCAGGTCCTGGGGCAGGACGCGGCCCTTCCTGCGGGCCCTCTGCAGGCGCCGCTGCGCCCGGGCCTCCCTCCGCCCGCGCCGGGGGCGCCCCCCGCGGTCCCTTGCC